TGGCGATCCGGTTCAGGGCTGTGTTGTCCAGTACCACCTGGGGGACAGAAGAGGGTGACAGATTTATGGGAACAGACAGAAAGGACAGGAGCTCTGCCTGAATCTGGGCTCTGAAGCTTAATTTCCTTGGTGCTTCATGGCCAGAAAGACCCATCCAAAAGGCAGTGGCACAAGACTGAGGCACAGAAGGGCTCAAAATAGACTTTTTAAATGTAGGAAAATGATGAAATAGACAAGGGGGTTGGCACTGGAGAATGGCAGAATCCAGGACGCACCACACAGTCTGCGTTCTGGGTCAGCCTCTTGAGCGTGAGCAGGGAGTTGTAGGGCTGGACCACCACATCGCTCATCTCGTCCTGGTTGGGAAACACTGAGTATGTCTGCACCAGCTTCTTGGGGTACCTGGTGGGGTTGAGAGGAGAAGGTCAGGGCAAGAGACTGGAGGCTTAGTAAACATGGGGCTCACAATAGTCAGAAAGCAGTGAAATCTAAATGGTGAAATTGGGGTGGGACACAGGATCAGCAGAGAAAGAAGACTTGACTTTTGGAAGTCTGCAACCCCAAAGGGGGAAGGAACGGCAGAGACAATCTTAGGACCTAGGGTTCTAACTAAACCAGTCATAACCCCTGAACCTTCTTCATCTCTTCATCTAGGGCTTAGATTCTAGGCTCTGGATCCAACCACTCAGAGTGTGATCAGGTTCTTGGTTATTTTATCTTCTCTTTCTCACTACAGGAGTTAACAGAAGGGCCTTTTCATTGCTCCAGCAAATAGGAAGGTGTATCTGGAGGGCCTCCCAGTTACTTGGGAAACCAAGTCCTTCCTGCCCCTTAAAACACATACTTACCTGTCATTCAGTCGTTCTAAGAGGTAGGAGCCCAGGCCAGAGCCTGTCCCCCCAGCAATGGAGTGACACAGCACGAAGCCCTACAGGGGGAAGGTGCAGTCAGTGTCTAGGTACTGGATTTCAGACTGGACCCATCCTACAATTTCTTGGACTCCTATTTTCCCAAGCCCTCTCCTCCACTTTCCTTACCCCACACATACAGCTCAGGAGACTCTGCCTTGTGTCCAGCAAAGCCCAGTGACTTCTGTCCAGTGCAAAGGGTACATGGGTAGGTCTTGTACTTAACAGGTGGCTTCTAAAAGGTGTTGTGAAGCCTTCCCTCTGACAGCTCCCACCAGCATTCCTAAGACACTTACCTCTAGACTGTCACTGCCATCTGCCTCTCGATCTATGATATCAAAAATGTCTTCGTGGATCTTCTCTCCCTGTACAGACATGGGGAGTATCAGAGTGGGACAGGACCATGGGACAAGGACTCTGACCTCAGAATAGCCACCTTGAATTCTCCTTATAGAACATAAAAGTCCTTTTTTGGAGCACAGTGGCCCTGCTTGTTATTTGCACTGAGAGGCAATATAGTACAGTGGGTATGAGCAGATACTCAACATCCACACTGCTTGGATTCATGTATTAGGTCTAGTTTTATTTAACCAAGTGACTCTGGGCAGGTTACTTTAGGCAGGTTACTCAGTTTCCTCATCTGAATTATGAAGGTGATATAACTCCTCAGTCCCTTATTCAAAATTCTTGGGGCCAGCTATGTTTCAGAATTCAAATATTTCCAATTCTAGAAAGGTAATATGGTACGTATGATGTATGTTAAGTAAAATGCCAGTGGGTATCTGGTGTGTGCTAATCAAATGTATTAATATTTCTGCAATGAAATGTATAAGTAATGACAAGTTAGATAAAAACTATAAAATAGCCTGTCTTCACTGAGATTTTTTTTTTTTTAAGATTTTATTTTTAAGTAATCTCTACACCCAAAGTAGGGCTTGAACTCACAACCCCAAGATCAAGAGTCACATGCTCTACTGACTGAGCCAGCCAGGTGCCCTGAGATTTGGTTTTGCTACTAAACAAGTTATAAATCATGTTTTGGTTTCAGAGTTGTTGTTTTTTTTTTAATTTTTTTTTTCAACGTTTATTTATTTTTGGGACAGAGAGAGACAGAGCATGAACAGGGGAGGGGCAGAGAGAGAGGGAGACACAGAGTCGGAAACAGGCTCCAGGCTCTGAGCCATCAGCCCAGAGCCTGACGCGGGGCTCGAACTCCCGGACCGCGAGATCGTGACCTGGCTGAAGTCGGACGCTTAACCGACTGCGCCACCCAGGCGCCCCTTCAGAGTTTTTTAGAATCTGAAAAAGGAGGTAAGAGACTGTGAACCTATAATACCTATCTTTAGGGTTGTTGGGAGGGTTAAGTAAGTTACATGTAAAGCACTTAGTATGACCTGGCACACAGCACTAGCCAAGTGCAGTCTTAACCATATTGACTTAGAAAAAAGAACTCCCCTCAGCCATCTCTCTCTCGCTCTACTACTCCTACATCCTTGATCTGGTTTCTTCTCTCTCTGGCAAGTCATACCGCCTGCCCTCACACAGGAAGGGAGTTGTGGGTTCTGCCAGGGAATAGCAAATGACCTGTGAGAATCCACTGGCCCAGTTGTTGCCAGCCCCTCCTCCATGCTCTGACAGGTAGATGTTCTCTGGGTTGTAGAGCTTGGCATAGGGGGAGTTGAGGATGGAGTGGATCACCCGGGGCTCCAGGTCCAGCAGCACGGCCCTGGGGATGTAGTGCTCATCGTCTGCC